GAAGACTGAAGGTCCTACATTGTACCTCAGTTTTGACTTTTTTAGGAATTGAATTTAGATACAAACCTTATGGAAGCTAGATTGCCAAAAGAAAAAGTCGAAAAGTTTAGGAAGGCTTTAGAAGCTATAAAGAGGAAAAAGAAAGTAACTCTAAGAGAGTTACAATCTTTGTTGGGCTTACTCAACCATGCCTGTTGTGTTGTGGTGCCAGGTCGGGCGTACCTCGGGAGGTTGATAAATCTTACGAAGGGAAAGACAAAGCCCCACCATCATATACGTTTAAACAAGCACGCCCGTTTAGATATGCAAGCTTGGCGTAGTTTCATTGACACTTTCAATGGAAAATCCATATTTCTGGATAAGGCCTGGCAGGATTCTGCAAAATCCACTTGTATACAGATGCATCTGGATCGTTAGGCTATGGGGCAATATTCGGAGATGATGGTGGGCTATTCAAATCACCCTGCGTTCGTGGTCCGTCGTCCGTCGTCCGCCGTCCGCCGTCCGTCCTTTTCTTGTTATCGGTATTTCTCAGGAAGCACCGGTGGGATCTTTCTGAAATTTTATATGCAGGTTCCCCATGGTCCTTAGCTGTGCAGTGCATCTTTTGAAACTGATCGGATAAACAACATGGCCGACAGGCAGCCATCTTGGATTTCGATAGTGAATGTTTGTTATCGCTATTTCTCAGGAAGTACCAGAGGGATGTTTCTCAAATTTTAAATGTAGGTTCCCCTTGGTCCCTTGTTCCCTTGTTGTGCAGCAGTGCCGTAAATGGACGGTCGTCTGCTCGCCAATGGCGGTTAAAGTATTGCTGCAGCAACCAAAAGTTGTCAAAAGTGAGCTTGTCACTGGCCCAACAAAAATAGTTCTGGCGACTATCGAAAACTTAATGAACACAAAAAGTTATAGTCCCTTCACATTAACTGGGGGGGGGGGGGGGGGGGGGCAGTACATTTTTCAGGTGTCATTACTTCGATTTCAATCGAACTGTCCGTAGTTTTGTCTACTTAACCCCCACCCCTATACTCATAAACAGTGACACTTTAAGTATATCGGGGATTTGGATCGGACTGCGTCTTTAGTGCGCTCTGTAAACAGGGGCAAGGCAGACTTAACCCCACCACGATACACATAAATAGTGACACAATAAGTATATTTGGGATGGGGGTCGGTCTGTGTCTTTAGTGCGCCCTGTACACAGGCGCAAGGCACAGACTTAACCCCTACCCTATACACATAAATAGTAGTGACACTATAAGTATATAGGGATGGCGGTTGGTCTGTGCCTTTAGTGCACTCTGTACACAGGGGCAAGGCACAGACTTAACCCCTACCACTATACACATAAATAGTGCCACAATAAGTATATAGGGGATGGGGGTCGGTCTGTGCTTTTAGTGCGCCCTGTACACAGGGGCAAGGCACAGACTTAACCCCCTACCGTATACACATAAATAGTGACACTATAAGTATATAGGGGATGGGGGTCGGTCTGTGCCTTTAGTGCGCTCTGTACAAAGGGGCAAGGCACAGACTTAACCCCCACCCCATATACACATAAATAGTGACACTCTAAGTATATAGGGGGTGGGGGTCGGTCTGTGCCTTTCCCCTTATCGTTCTATACCACTCAAAATTGAAAAATATATCGTTAATGGGCATATCATTTATTTTCATGTTTATTAAGCCCTATGCTCTTAGTGTTTAAATACACAAATATGCAAAATCTAATTTGGTTTACAGTTTTTTAATAAAATTGCCAAGCTTTTTAAAATATAATTATGTTTTCCCACTAGATACATTTCAATATTACACGTGCCGCGTTGCCAGCAGGATCCCGAAACAGTTTTATATTGTGACGTAACGTTTAATTCCATATGTCAATAAGGTGATTATTTCTGTTAGAAGTTTGCCTTAAAACGGCGTAAATGTCATATTTTGAAGAAACGAACGTTAATTGATATTTTGACTCACGTCTGAAATTCCTATCTTTTAAAATCACGTATGACTAGGTCACAGTTGAAATATTAAAAGTATTGAAACCAAGTGCATTGCTTTACATTTTCAATAAGAACCAAGATTGCACGGTAGCACAACAAGCGCACCGGAAATTTCACATCAAACCAAACAACAAAGTAGTATAAGAACATCTTTATTACTCAATATATATATATATATAAAAAAAAGAGATACGTTTTATGAAAAATAAATCTTTATCAGAACCTACATCTATAGCATATACTCAAACTGTTTTTGGGAATCAAGTTATTTAACTACACTGATTATATGCAAAATTTTAGTAAGTTCAGAATCGTCTTCTCTAAAACGGTCAAGTAGTGTCTCCCAACTAGATTTGGTTCGTGTATGTACCTACCGAAATGTACCGAATCCCATTAATAAATGTTGTGGGTCCTTTAAGGAATCACCAATATTTCGTCAGGATATGCAAATAAAATTTTCACGTTTAAGCAATTCCTTGTAGGGAATGACGGATGGAGGTTTGGGGTGTATACCATACCATGTAGGGAATGACGTCTGGAGGTTTGAGGTAAATACCGTACCTTGTAGGGAATTACGTCTGGAGGTTTGAAGTATATACCATACCTTGTAGGTAATGACTTTTGGAGGTTTGGGGTGTATACCATACCATGTAGGGAATGACGTCTGGAGGTTTGAGGTATATACCATACCTTGTAGGGAATGACGTCTGGAGGTTTGAGGTTATACGTACCTTGTAGGTAATGACTTTTGGAGGTTTGAGGTATATACCGTACCTTGTAGGGAATGACGTCTGGAGGTTTGAGGTATATACCATACCTTGTAGGGAATGACGTCTGGAGGTTTGAGGTATATACGTACCTTGTAGGGCATGACGGCTGGAGGTTTGAGGTATATACCGTACCTTGTATGGAATGACTTCTGGAGGTTTGTGGTATATACCGTACCTTGTAGGGAATGACGTCTGGAGGTTTGAGGTATGTACCATACCTTGTAGGGAATGACGTCTGGAAGTTTGAGGTATATACCGTACCTTGTAGGGAATGACGTCTGGAGGTTTGAGGTATATACCATACCTTGAAGGGAATGACGTCTGGAGGTTGAGGTATATACCGTACCTTGTAGGGAATGACGTTTGGAGGTTTGATATATTTACAGTACCTTGTAGGGAATAACGTCTGGAGGTTTGAGGTATATACCGTACCTTGTAGGGAATGACGTCTTGAGGTTTCAGGTATATGCCATACCTTGAAGAGAATTACGCCTGGAGGTTTGAGGTATATACCATACCTTGAAGGGAATTACTTCTGGAGGTTTGTGGTGTATACCGTACCTTGTAGGGAATGACGTCTGGAGGTTTGAGGTATATACCATACCTTGTAGGGAATGACTTCTGGAGGTTTGTGGTGTATTCCGTACCTTGTAGGGAATGACGTCTGGAGGTTTGAGGTATATACCATACCTTGTCGAGAATGACGTCTGGAGGTTTGTGGTATATACCATACCTTGTAGGGAATGACTTCTGGAGGTTTGCTGTGTATACCGTACCTTGTAGGGAATGACGTCTGGAGGTTTGAGGTATATAACGTACCTTGTTGGGAATGTCGTCTGGAGGTTTGAGGTATATACCGTACCATGTAGGGAATGACGTCTGGAGGTTTGAGGTATATGCCTTACCTTGTAGGGAATGACGTCTGGAGGTGTAAGGTATATGCCGTGCCTTGTAGGGAATGACGTCTGGAGGTTTGAGGTATATACCGTACCTTAGGGAATGACGTCTTGAGGTTTGAGGTATATACCATACCTTGTAGGGAATGACGTCTGGAGGTTTGAGGTATATACCGTACCTTGTAGGGCATGACGGCTGGAGGTTTGAGGTATATACCATACCTTGTAGGGAATGACGTCTGGAGGTTTGATGTATATACCGTACGTTTGACTCCAAGCAGAAAAACCTATCGAAATATTGGGACTGATAGAGTGACATTTTTTAATTTTTTTTTTGCCCCTTGGAAATCATCTGTTGTTACTTACTTATTAAATGTGACTATGTAAAAAACACAATACAGTTGTTTTGGATAAAAATATCGATTGATAATAAGTGCACGATTTCTTTTCTTGTTAAACATGCAATAATAACATTCTCAAGGCATGAATTCGTTGGAGTCAATATTATGAAAGTCTACAATTCAACAATGGTCACATCATTACAAAGAGTCTATGATATAAATCTGTTTACAAAATATGAGAGTATAAAACATATTGTTGAGGTTTAAATCGGGTCAATTCACATAAACCAAGGAAGCACGAAAACATCACCATTACTTTAAACGTTCGAGCACGCCAAACAAACATCTCAAATTAGGTGTGAATTTTTGTATACTCTTATTGTATGGATGCCTACATTCTTTATTTTTAATATTTTTCAAATATTGTTAAAATCCAATCCAAGTCTTTATATTATTACTGCATGTAGAACTGCATAATACTCTCATTAAATATTTGAAAACATCGGATCAGTCAGATTTGACGTTGTACCTAGTTAGAAGGACTTGATACTTTGTTAAAAACAACAATTGCTCTGTAGAAAATACTGTTATTTACTTGTGTTCTTCGAGATATATGTTTTGGCCTCAATTCGCATAAGGGATTGAACGCAAGTTTATATATCACGTGAACAACCGTTTGTATGTGATGTACGAACATACATGCTGAGTGAAACGCCAATGGACATCCTCGCAAGTAGGTACGAAACGCCAGGCACGTGTGTCCGAAAGTTAATTATATGCATGTACATGTATATATGATTATGTCTGAGAACGTGCTTGAACTTAAATCTTTACAGCCAATGGATATCGGTAGTAACGTTTCATGATGATGCCCTTTCAATTTTGTGTGCCTCCTCGTGTCTCATGGAGACTAATTACAAATGTGAGTAATACTGTACATATAGAGGATGATTTTAGCAGTCGCTATAAAAACTAAAACTGTGTTCATTTTCTTTTCAAATCAAATCGCTTTATTCTACACGATTAAATCACACGCATTACTAAATATTATACATTATAACAAAAGTCACAATAACTAAAATAATTAAGGTATCATGCGTCATGTAACTGCATGTATTTCAGAATAACAAAAACAGAAGCTAAATTAATCCAAAAAATCAATAGGAATATATGGCAACCCAGACAAAAGGAAAGAAATCATGATAACTAATTGAGGTGAAATCAGGGACTGTTTATTAGGCGTACTGTTTTCCCTAAAATCCTAACTACTAGCTAATGGTAATATGTAAACATTTTGTAGGATACTAGTGTTAATCATCAGGACATATATTCAGCACTGGATGGATATTTACATATATTTACATTAGCATTGCCACTATATAACACTACCAAGGCCAGTTATGTGTAATGAGACCATAACACTGGCGTAGTGGACCGACTAATTACTGGATAGCTATTCCCCTCCGCACTAGCAAGCGGATAAGCAAAAACCCTCCCCATGATTTAATAATATTCACCGTTTTATGTAAGACTATTATGAAATGTGAATTGAATTTATTGATTGATTAAATTATGGAAATAGTATTATATTTTTTGTGTTTATTTCAACGAACTATATTTTTACGGGGAAAAGTCACGAGGCAACATTCCGTGAGCAATTCCATGAACTGTTCTACCTCTTGAACAAACACCTCGAAATTCGAATTTAAAAAAGCGATGTGAACTAATAAATGATAAAAAAATGAACAATGTAAATATAAGCATAAAACAGCATTCTGTTCCGTGTTATGGTCCTATAACATGTACTAAAATGACTGCAATGAAAAGTCCTTGTAGGGAGATACGACGATCGTGTCGGTACATACATAGCCAGTTATGTCGTGTGACACAATAAAAAAAAACCCGTAAGTATACGTGGTGTTTGTTATGTAAACATGTATACTTAGTGTCCATAGGTTTTACCAATCACTGTATCCCATTTCTTGGAGCCAAGTGTTTGGGTCGCTAACATATACATCTGAATGATTGAGGATGGCGCGGAGCAGTTCAAAGCGTTGCTTATATCCAGGTTTCTTCTCCTGTTCCTCCGTGTTAATCATAAGCTTGATGTAATCTTTTTCGCTCTGTTGAATCTTCTGTAAGCTGTTGCTGGTTTCAACTGTCTTTGAGATCAGGGAGATCACTTCCTCCATCAACGACACAAATGCTCGTTTGATGGCCTGGAGCATTGCGTCGGTTGACACATTTTCTTCCACATTAAATTCATATTTTGTTTTGATGTCAGCATACGTTCTTGTTACTGTTTCAAACTTTCCTTCTATCCTAAATGTATCGTTCCTGTGCACGTGCCACACACATTCCTGATGGCATTTTGTACAATAGCCATCGTCCATAGCGGCACAGTTCTTTTTACCGTCGTTGTCCGGAATACCACACGGATAATGGCATGTAGTATGGCACACGATACAGTTGGTAACATGCGTGCCAGGTTCAAGCGGGATCTTCTCTTGGCGATACACCTCCTCATCGTACGTAAACGAATTGTTTAGTTGTATGTCGATAGCAAACTTCTTCACAGTATCTCTGTCGGTCTGCACTGTCGCGAGATCCATGAGTTGTACGTTAATTTCCAAACGATTTCCCTGCAGATGTGTCATTTTTTCTTGTTGCCAGTCTTGTTCCGTGGGCTGTGTTGTTGTCTTCGGAGTGGTCTTCAACGCTCGACAGGGTTTCATGTCTGAAAGATGGTTTAAAAATCCTTCAAATCCTCTGGAGCTTAATTTCCAGGAAGTCTTTCCAAGCAGAGCGTCTTCAGTGTACGGTGGGAAGAGCGTCGAACTGTTAAAGACAAAGAAACGCTGTGTCGGGACTCCAACAGTTGAGAGGATTTTAAGCACGGATGGCTCTTTCCCGTCGGCAAACGTCAGCATAGGAATTATGTTCCCATGCATGTTGTCTCCAAATATGGACACAATGCCATCCAGTATGTCGCTAAAGGCCTTGTCGATACCGCTAAATGTGACAGGGTTGGCCTGACTGACGAAGCAAACAGCATCTGTTCCATTCATACCCTTGGGACCTCTGGTGGACAGGAAGAATTTGAGACGTTGAAGGAAATTCTGGTTTCTTTCATACGATTCTGGTCCTTCGTGGAAGCTTGGGGCGTCTATGATATTCAAAATGAAGTCAGTGTCTGTCGTGACCGGATGTACTTTGTAGCTTGTGATCCATTCAGTAGGCGATTCCTAGTAAAGGAGAATATTACTTGAAATATATAATCACATGTCATCATGTGACATAAACAGTACACCAAACGACTATAGGATGTGATATTTTAATTTGACCATAATATCATTATATATGGTATACAGCACTAATTAATATTGTAATCAGAAATCACCTCACAAAGATGATAGATGATATCAACGACATATCTATACACATTTACGACAAAAGCGAGAAGCTTCCTAAATATAGCTTAATTAAAAAATGTAAATTTTGTTGTACAATTCACATACCTGTCTGGAAGTTGTAATTTCTGGTTCATCTGTAATTTTTAATCGGTACTCGTGTTCCCATTTCACACCAAGACTGTGGTTGACAAGTCCGTTGATAAGAGTGGTTTTCCCTCCTGTTCTTGGGCCGACCATCAGTACAGTTTTCTCTCGAAGACAAGTCGAGTTTCCTATAAAAAGAGCAATCGAGCAATATAGATAATCAGTTACAACAATAATATTAATAATCAGTTACATCACAGGTACTAGCCTCGTCTGTCAGACGCTGATTGGCTTCTAAATATAACGGACCAATCAGCACCGAGGTCACAAAAATTAGAGAAAATGGCAGGCTCTGTTCAGATTTCAGATCGTCAGCCTGACCAGCCTGAAAACTGGACTCGGGTGTCCGCCATGCTAATAAAAGGGAATGAACGTTACTACAAGCAAGTTTGTTTCCCATCGTAGAAACACTGTACTGGCATTGAATAGTGTACATGCCGTGTGTTAGGCGCTGCTCACTAGGAATTTAGAGTGTAATCCCGTGGACAACACAGTGTGAAATTCGACCATTTTTCGATGTTTCATGAAGTCTACCGAAAATTCGACTACATGATATATGGCAAATCATGCATCAAATTAAAAAACAATCCTGACAATCTGGACTGCTCCCGGTGTCATATTATAAACGATTTTGACGAACGTTTTCTGGAACGGGGTCATTTTACTGGGGGGACGGAGTAAGCATCCTTGATTATATTATAGGTGTATTGACAGACGAGGCTAGTACCTGTGGTTACATCAAAAGTGGAAATAATATGTTACATAAAAACTAGATTATCAGTTACATCAACAATATATATAACCTGTTACTCAACGTTGCTATTATATACAAATGGAAGATAAAACACTACACAGTAAAATAAAATCTTAAAAAAGTCACGATTAGATGTACCAGGTACTCTATAGCTTACTTCAAACAGCCCTACACTTTGTATTGCTATATTCCTTTAGGAATCTTCAAAACTGCAAATCGTTTGAAGCAGTAATACAAACCTGAAAAGTATCTTTAATGCTGCAAAATGGTGATTAAAGTAATTTGTTAACAACATTTCAATATCTGCTTAAGCGAATACGAAAATAAGACAAATTCCTCTTTACCACGTCAATGACGCTTAAATGTAGGCCCAATTTAACAATTTGTCTGAATTAGCACTGATGTACGGACGGAGGGAACTCGTCAATTTTGTTAAGCGCGATATAACAATATGGAATGTTTTTGATTCAAACCTACCGTATCTACATTTTCTTGTCTTTTGATCATCGTCTTTTGATGACTGCATCTCAACTAAAGGAAGTCTGTAAACGCTTGGTGGCCCATCTATTATCTTCTTGCAGTACTTTAGGATCCCACACACCTTTGAGCATCCTGTTGTTATTTCCGCACTCTTGCAGCTAAAATCGCTGTCACAGCCATCTGAGTAAACTGCTCGCACCATGAATTCATATCCAGTGTTTTGTAGGAGTTCGTTGAAGCGATGGAATGGTTGTCTGTCTTTGGTAGAAACAATTGTCGATGACCAAATATGATCACCAGCGACTTTCATTCGGATCTCATAATGGGAAACCTCGTCTTTCTCGACCTTGTCCCATTCCAGGCATATATAGTCAGTACCTATATCTGTTGACCGTGGCTGACCGGGTCTAACTGGACGTTGGAGGGATGGTAGGAGGGTGATGATATAGATCTATAAATAACAAAACAGTGGAAACAATGTTGACTTGTATCAAGTTCTATATTAGCTTCAGGTCTGCCGGCTTAGCTGTATAGACAAGTATTTACAATGGATGTACAAATGACGCAGAGTAGCAAAGTCTAAACAACTTCGTAGAAGAATATCAACATTTGAAACATCAAATTCATAATTATTTAAAACTATTTTCCGATCTAACTATTGAGTCACTTTAATACACTAAAATTATAATTTTACCATCTGTATCAGAAATATAAATATTTCCTTTCAGGACAATGAACCTCGCGCACCCAAAACGATATTCAGAATCTATAGTCTCCCATTAAACATTCGGATTAGCACAAGTATCTAGTAAAACAAAATAGACTAACATAATAAGTTATAATGTTTTGACAAACGAAGGTGACTTATTTCAGTAACGAAGGATCGATCTGGACGATGGGAGATGACTTATTTCAGTAACGAAGGATATGTACAAAAGTATTTGACTTGCATCAGTAACGAATTAAGGATCTGGACAAACGGATTTTACTTATTCCAGTTACGAAGGATCGATCTGGACGATGGGAGTTGACTCATAGCATGATCAGCAACGAAGGATCTGGACAAACTGAGTTGACTTACATCAATAACGAAAGGATCCGGAAAAACGGAGTTTACTTATTTCAGTAACGAAGGATCGATCAGGGCGATGGGAGATGACTTATTTCAGTAACGGAGGATCGATCAGGGCGATGGGAGTTGACTTTTATCAGTAACGAAATTATCCGGACAAACGGAGTTGACTTACATCAGCTACGACAGGATCCGGACAAACTGAGTTGACTGATATCAGTAAAGAGCGATATGGACAAACTGAGTTGACTTACATCAGTAACGATGGATTCGGAAAAGCGGAGTTGACTTATATCAGTAATGGATGTTTTGAAAAAAGGAATTAACTTGTATCATTAATAAAAGTATCTAGAAAAACGGAGTTCACTCATATATATAATTAAATTAAAGTAAAACAATGCAAGTTACCAACGGTTTCCCCTTGCAGTGTTTGTTCAATTATAAATGGTTTCGAAAAATCCGGTTTTTACCCTTAAAAAATTGTACACTTTCTGCAGGTAAATGTTGATGAACTGTAGCTTATCTGCAAACTGGATATCCAGCTGGAAACCGTTAATCTGGAAACCATGAACATGGTCCATAGTAAGGGACTGACTCGTTTAGCTACGTCTCGAGTCCTGGAAAAGAAAGATGCTCGATTGTTCAAACTGATAAGCCTACATTTATATATGAATAGAACAGTGACGTTTCAAAGAAGAGGAATCTATGTGTGCATAGATCTAGACAGTGCAGTTTAAGAGAGAAATATATGTATGTTTAGACAAGGACGTTTCAGAGGAGAGGAATCTATGTGAGATGGATAGGACGTTTAAGAGGAGAGGAATCTATGTGTACATAGATCTAGACAGTGCAGTTTAAGAGAGAAATCTATGTATGTTTAGACAAGGACGTTTCAGAGGAGAGGAATATATGTGAGATGGATAGGACGTTTAAGAGGAAAGGAATCTATGTGTGCATAGACAGGGAAGTTTCAGAGGAGAGGAATCTATGTGTGCATAGACAGGGACGTTTCAGAGGAGAGGATTTATATTTGTAAATAGACAGGGACGTTTCAGAGGAGAGCATTTCTATTTGTAAATAGACAGGGAAGTTTAAGAGGTGAGGACTTATATGTGGGTATAGACAGGGACTTTTCAGAGGAGGGGAATATATTTGTGTATAGACAGGCAAGTTTCAGAGGAGATGCTTTCCTCAGTAACGACGCACATCTAAAGCCCAGAGACTATAGCCATGGATCTAGAATTTTGTCGAAGTTTAGTTTGTAATCGCATTTGTGGTCTAAATATGTATTTGTGATATTATATTGTGATGCCTGATTGAAGGTTTGGTACAATCGTTGTTTAATTTTCGAAAAGTTACTTTTTGTTAATTGGTACTCTGGTAATTATATTTAGTAACGCCTATTCACAGTATGTGGGGTGATACTATATTATATAGATCTACAAAGTTGCAAGTATGCCAAGCTTGTAACGAAATAATACCCATCCGCACAGGGATTCTAAAAGAAATATGGCTGCCTGTGTCGTGTAGGTTAATATATTTACTATATAAGGAAAACCATACATCTTGAGTAAAACAAAAAAACATGCAGTGCAATTTTCTAGCTGTTCTTGCAATGGAAAATGCATACGTTATATAATGACAGTGCATTGTTTCCAATACCAATCATCTGCCGATCCAGAAATTGAAACAGTTTTAAATTCACTTCCATATCTGCCACCCTCCAAAAATTCAACAACTTTTAAAAATCTTCTAGTGTTTAAGCAACCTTGTGAACAAACTCTAAAATTGTACTTCCGGTGTGCAGGAAAACTCTACATCGGTAAGCAATGCAATATCACGAACATATCTGGGACTAAAAATGTCATTCATATAAAATATATCAATGGAAATGCTAGCTTGGATTAGAGTACTAATATATAACAGAAATAACAATGTCTTGTTAACGGGAATTGCGAAAACAGCATTGTAACCCGACAACTGGATTCAGCTGTTCAAACACTCCAGTAATGAACACAGAGAACTGCGTGACCATTGGCCTCTTGCTCTGTACAGTCCACACATAGAAGCTGCCAAAAGGATTTTAAGTAAACAAAAATATATCGGACGCGTCAACCTGGATTCTTCTATTTTTATACTATATTATACACAAACATATGACACCTTTACAATATTACATCAAATATATTCCTCACAATATTAATAAAGTGTGCATATTATATAGCTACACAGTCCTTTTTTTTCATTTTTCTTGATCCACAAATCGTGAACCCAATTCTCGATAAGGTGAAAATATACCAAACTTTAAAGAATACGTTTCGTTCCGTAATCTTAGCTGTTTGTTTTACAGAGGAGGCGAACTATATGTAGTCGTAAACTATTTTGGAGTAGATTTTGTGAAAATCCAAATAATGCGCATGATGAAAGTCGTTAAAATGACTTCCTGCGGGTTGACATTACCTTTCCTGAGTTCTATAGCAAAATTTGTCAGCAGACTGGTATAGCATAGGAATCATACTAAACTGTGCTCCTCGTCAGACAGACTTGTATAGCATAGGGATCATACTAAACTGTGCTCCTAGTCAGACAGACTTGTTTAGCATAGGGATCATACCAAACTGTGGTCCTCGTCAGACAGACTGGTATAGCATAGGTATCATACCAAACTGTGCTCCTCGTCAGACAGACTGGTATAGCATAGGAATCATACCAAACTGTGTTCCACGTCAGACAGAGTGGTATACGTATAGCATAGAAATTATACCAAACTGTGCTCCTCGTCAGACAGACTGGTATAGCATAGGAATCATACCAAACTGTGTTCCACGTCAGACAGACTGGTATAGCATAGAAATTATACCGAACTGTGCTTCTCGTTAGACAGACTGGTATAGCATATGTCACCCTGGTAAAATGCTAGCCGCTTCCTACCGTCTCGGCTAGGGAGAATTTCTCTTTAGCTCATTCGGTAGAGCGTAAGACTAGTAAGCCAGAGGTCCCGGGTTCGACTCCTAGCGGAGGCATTGAAAAAATAATGACCTCTGTTACACATAGAAATTATACCAACTGTGCTCCTTGTCAGACAGACTGGTATAGCATAGGAATCATACCAAACTGTGCTTCTCGTTAGACAGACTGGTATAGCACAGGAATTATACCGAACTTTGCTTCTCGTCAGACAGACTGGTATATCATAGGAATTATACCAAACTGTGTTCCACGTCAGACAGACTGGTATAGCATAGAAATTATACCGAACTGTGCTCCTCGTCAGACAGACTGGTATATCATAGGAATTATACCAAACTGTGTTCCACGTCAGACAGACTGGTATAGCATAGGAATCATTCTAAACTGTTCTCCTCGTCAGACAGACTAGCTTTTGTTTCCATTGCTAGGGTTTTCATTGGCCCTGGAAAACTATCAGGACTGCTAACGAAAACCTTGCAAAGTCCTTAAATTTCACTTGCAGATATATCGTCGATGCATTGTTAAACATACCAAATTAGAACTGTAAGCCAAAGACTAACCAATACACCCGATCCCATATAAACCAGAACTGTAAGCCAAAGACTAACCAATACACCCGCTCCTATATAAACCAGAACTGTAAGTCAAAGACTAACCAATATACCCGCTCCTATATAAACCAGAACTGTAAGCTAAAGACTAACCAATACACCCGCTACTATATAAACCAGAACTGTAAGCCAAAGACTAACCAATACACCCGCTC